GCTCTGAAGTTTTAAAGTGAATTAACCCACCATGAAGATGAAAACTACCATAAATAAATAAACAAATAAATGAATAAATAAATGCCATACCTGATGACGTCCATTGCAAGAGATACAAGCCAGGGCTTCCATGACGACTCCTGAAACAATACCATTGAAAACACTAACCAAACAGATTAATATAATAATTGTGACCACACTCATTTATTATTAGCAACTGACAGTGTACGAGAGGACGTGAAATGTGCAGTCCTTCGGCAACAAGCTGCTTAGTACTCAATTCCGAATCTCTATTCCTATTCCTGGTACCAGTCTGAGTCTCAACCACTTGCAATTCTGAGTATGGGATACGGGGATCTGAGGGCGTGGTCAATAGGAAATCATTTTCATATTACCTGAGTGTATTGAGCGAATGACTTTCCCTGTCCTCTGACCTAAATAAGCAGCTGGCTGGCCATCATGAGGCTCCTGCTGTATTGTATTAGTTTGATTGAGAGTAGCTTCATTTCTCTCAACGTTTGGTACAGGAGGAGATGCTAGTATACACGAGCGATATTTGAATATAACGATACATTGCATGATAGCTCTATGTGTGTATTATGTAAAGGAGAGATGTAATAAAATAAGAGGTTTCTTACTTAATTAATCTCATCCACAGTATTACAACCCATTTACCAAAGTCTCTATAAATATAAATAGATCATGTTGTGGTTTAGGTCATCAAAGGTCTGGAGTCAATAACTAATGCTCTGTGCTGTAATGAACATTTCCAATGGTTAGTTCCCTATGTGTACTTTATAATGATTATACTTATATACTACAGGCACAGAATGAACTGTAGCTCTACTGCTGAGGAACATCTCATCTCTCAATCACAACTGACCAACCCTTGGACTATTATCAGAATTCTTCTTTTAACAAATGATAATTATGATTAAGAAAAAGTGAAATTATCTGCGGAGAGGAGTTGCGAGTGTGTTAGGAGAGCACCAGGGATCGAGGCTGATGCCCGACATACTGAAAAAAAGCAACTCGGACCCCACAGACAGAGAGCATGGGAGAATGGATGGCCTAGGGGCCCACTGACCACCCACCTCCCTTCCCTCACTCACACTGATATGAACTATCCTTTTATAGTCAGTTGATTTAACGTAGTGAGGTCATTGTGGGGCACACAATTTCACACAATGAGTCGTGACTATAATCAACAAATTCATGTGTGATGTATGAATTATAATACTATGCATAATAAATAAAACATAAAAATTCAAACAGTGCATAGACTATATATGTAATAGTTAATACATGGGGCGGCGTGTTCTATCTGATTTATCCACACGAGCTTCTGGTCAAGTCGCTAAAAATAGCGCACGAGGCCAAAGGCCGAGTGCGCTATTTTAGCGACGAGACCGGAAGCGAGTGCAGATAAATCAGATAGCACACAATGCCACATGTATTAATTGTTTTAGTGTATAGTTCCAGCAAAGATTGCACATGCTCTGCTATCACTGATATCACACTGCTGCACATTAAATAAATGAGTGTGCTATTCATAATATCACACTGCGGTATTGGTGGGAGTGTTCTGTGGGTTTTGTCACAACTGTTAGGCCTTTGATCTTTGCTGCAACTATACATTAAATATATATATATATATAAAGCAAAAAAGTAAGAGAGAGAGAGAGAGATACCAGCTGAGAGGAGGTACAGTGTGCAGTGGAGTACATCAGGAAAGGGAGGGGCCAGACCTGATGTCCCAATACACAGTGCAACTCAACCCAGCGGGCAGAGAACATGGGAGAATGGATGGCCTGGGCCCATTGACCAACCACTTCCCATCCCTCACTCTACACTGATATGAACTATCCTTTTATAGTCGGTTGATTTAACGTAGTGACTAGTGAGGTCATTGTGGGACACACAATTCACAGCCTGCTGAGTCATAATTATAATTAAAAAAATACAAAAATTATGAAGTACATCTAGTTTATGAAAAAAAAAACAGAGGGAAGTCATGAAGATTACATAGGATCGATGTAGCATAGGGGCCAAATTTATATAATCATCTAGAACTAATGCTCTAGTAGGAGGGGACCACTGGAGGAAAGGTGACTAGGGTCCATAGTCAACCATCACTCCACTGCCTACACTCCAACTGATTACAGGTATCATTTTATAGTTGGTTGTTCAAACATCATCAGGTCATTGTGGGTTTTGCCAGTTTCACACATTATTCATAACATTGTTGCTTCTTTGCAGTGGTCTGCATCATTTCACACATTATTCATGATGACATTGTTGCTTCTTTGCAATGGTCTGCATCATAGCATTTGGAATTTAATTCATAACCATTAATACTCAATAATAATAATGATAAAGAGAGAGTGATTTGTTTCTTAGAATTTTAGCCAATAATAATTATGATTATTTTTATACACTCAAAATTAATTAAGTCATGACATCCAGTTGTAAGAATAGATATCTTTCCAAACTGGTAAATATTCAACCAGTGGCTCTAGCAAGAAAAGAATACAAAATATAAAAGGCGTAATGATTAAAAACATACAAAAAATCATGACTAACTTATA